TAATTAAACATGATTTATTAATTATTTAAAATTAATTATTAAACCTAGGAATTGCTCAGCCCACTGACCTGCCCCAGGCGCTGCTCTGACCAACACGAGTGTCAGCAGCTCTCCAGGAGCACTGCAGCAACATAGCATTGTACATGCTCTGCCTCCCCTTTCAGTTTAGGGCCAGGAGCAAGTCTGGGGCTGTGCAAGATGCTATTCCAGGCAAGAAGTGCTGATTACAATAAGGATGGACAGGCACAGTGGTGGGACACACCACCAGCAGAACCCGAAGCACAAGGGGAAGCCTTCTAGGACAGTTACCATCCATCTAAGATGATTTGCCACCATACGTCACCACTGTAATGATCTCACATTTCACAAGCTTATTCTGATGGAGCCCAATCCAACTGCGTGGATGAAATTAAAGAGGTGCATCACCCTGGAGATGACCTGTGATCTTTTTAAGTAAAAGAGCACGCAGACAAATAAATAAATAAATAAAAGGACTGGGGAAAAAAAAAAAAGAAAAAAAAAAAAAAAAAAAAAAAAGAACTGTCATATCTCTAAGCTTTCCCAGGCAATTCTGAGTGGCCCAGTTTGATCTCTTTCCCCTGCAGTCAGTGACATAGGTGTTTTCTTGATATGACTTCCACACGCTTAGTGTGAGCCCTCCTCAGACCAGAACCCACTAGGTTCTCATTCTCCAACTTAAAAAAAAAAAAAAAAAAAAAAAAAGGCTGGAAAATGTAAGATGCAGTGAGGCTGTGCAGACAGTCCTTCAGTCTGCAATGCCCAGCTCCCACACACCTTCCCCTGAAGGATACAGAAATGGTTTTAAACTAAAAGGTGCCAAGAAAAGGGCCCACAGCTGCTTGGAGTCCTTGGGTGAGGAAGTGAAGAGAATAAAAGAATTAGAGGCAGGTCTTTCACACAGCTGATTAGTGCACTGGAATGTCACATTCGGCACAGAAAGTTTGCTTATCAAGCTGCAGATTTATTAAATGTGTTCCAGACTTGCATTGCTTCATTCAAGTTTAACAGAGCTGTAATACTTAATATGCCCTTTAGCAATTTAATACTCTCTTGTACAAATCATTGGAAAATTTAAAATAGAAAAATATGTCCAGGCTTAACTGTAAAAAGAAGGGGAACTCTTTACAAAAACAGAGGAGAAAGAATGCTTGGGTAAAGCTGAATATTACTGAATATATTACCACATGTACTATTCTGCTGAGTTATTAGTACATGCACTCTCATCTGCAGGCCAAAGGAGGAACTAACACTAATAAGTTACAGAAGAACAATTTTCAGCATCAGGGCTTGAGACTGGCATCACACCATGCCCAGAAATTACTCCTCAGAAAACACGTTTTATACATTTTTTGCCTTTGGAGAGTACAAATGTGGGTTTCTTCTTTAAGGAAATGAAAATCAGTTGTTGGTCCTGCTGGTAAGAGACAGGAAATATTCCTGTCAAACATCAAACAACCACATTCACAGTAAAAAGGGATGTAAACATTGAACTGGTACATCATTAGGACATTAAAGACACTATTTGTTGGAGACAGAGAGAGGACAAGCCTGTAAAATGCCTAGCTGCTGCATAATTACTTGCGAATATAAACACATCCATACAAACATAGTTGTGCATAAATATTTTGGGCCATAGACTCTGTGTAAGAAAGCTCTTTTGAGGCTCTGCGTGCCCAGCGTGTGCAGGGATCTGTCCCAGTTCAGACACGAAGATGTTATTTAATATTGTGCATGCATGTGGGAAAGAAGAGAAGGGCTTTATTTTGCGGCAGCCAGTCAGAGTGCTCAACTTCTGCTTTTTTAGAGGCGTAAAGACTCTTAAAGCAGCCTTCCTAACAGATCAGCTGCAGTGTAGATGCATGTTCCTGAATCTGGAAATGGGCTGGAGCAGGAGGTGCAGCAGTGCCTGCTGCATCCCACCAGGAGATGTGCCGGGGGGCAGTGACAAGTACATCCTTCTCAATCCAGGTGCAAACGGTACAAAGCTGTGTATATCAATAGCCACGTCTAAGGTCCCCGAATAACTGTGTCACTCACCGTGCTGCTAGCATGTACTGAGCCCGACTGGGTGCCAGCAGCCAGGCTGAGTCAGTGGCATACACAGCCCACAGGGCCGTGCAGAAGCTGCGAAGACAAGGGAAAGTCATTGGGAATAAAAAGGAAAGCGTGCTTAAGGTTTTGCCAAAAGGCACAAACTGAGTTAAGGAGCTGGGCTTTGAATCTCCCCTCTCCTGCCCTCCTCACACACGACCAGGCCCTAAGCCACTTTTAACAATTATCGTTGCCTTCCTCTGGCGACCTCAAACTAACTCTTTCCAGCCGCAGGCCTGGAAGTGACCTCCTGAATCACTGATCCCAGTCCTTTCTAATTGGAGGCGACCGCATCATATGATACCAGTCAGAAATGCCTCAACGTGAGCGGGCGGGGGGACTTGTGATGATTTCATCCTTCCAAATTCCATGGGCAACACCCAAGCGTCTGTGGCAGTGATTGTCTCTTGCTCAGACCTTATGGGAAGACGGCCATTGCCTGTTAAGGAATTGGTGCTGTAAGGTGGTTTGTTTGGCTTGCAGTTTTCTCGGTGTGGCCACGGCAATGTGAACGCGATGGGGTCTGGGCAGAGCAGCCACTCATCTCTCCCACCACGCCACGTACCAATGGCATGAAGTACTAAACAGAGGCTTGCCAGCATCCAAGAGCCCTTCAGAGAGCCCTGTTAAAGCAGAAGCTGCTGCAATATAATGAAGGTCAGCAAAATCTGGTATATGATAATGAGGACTGATGTAGGTATGAATTTACTAGCACCATTTGCCTTTGAAAGGCAAATGTTTCATGGCCTCTGGGATGCACAGAATCCATTTCCCTGGGTAGGTGAAGGGGGTTTTAATCCTCCTTCTCCATTAGCACATCTCCCACTGTGCTGTAGCTTTAGCATGGGGCAGCTTGCCCCTATACCTGCAGCAACAATGGGAGAGAGGACCTGGGCAGCAGGCACTCCATCTGCAGGGCACAGGTCTGAGAGAGAAGCTCTGCACACCTTTGTTATCTGATCCACGTGGTGGAAAGGATAAGCTCTCTGGTTCGCTGTGGTTCCCATCCTGAGAAGCATATCTCCTACCGGTCCTTTCAGAGGCCACAAACCAGGGAACAGGGTCAAAGCAGCACCATGCATCTTAGGTGGGGATAAATGGCACCAGAGCGAGGCAGGTGAGCAGGTTTGCTTGGGTTTTGAGGGTGGGATAGAGAAGCAAGTAACACAAGAGGTACAGGGCTGTCACACCAGCGTCTCTGCAGGCTGCTGGCGGTCCGGGTCACCTGGATGCTGCTTTGGAAGTGCTCTTGGACACAGTCAATATATGAGGGAGTCTGAATATGGGAAGAAGGGGTAAAATGAATGGAAAGTACTCTGGGAAGAAGGGAATGGATGCTTGCAGCAGTTCCTGGCTAGAAAGCAAGGGCTCCTTGCAAGTGTTGGATTCACCAAGTCATGGCAAGGCCCAACAGCACCTTCCATCACGGCATAGCTGAAACAAGCAGCAGGGACCCAGGACTTCCACTGAAACAACCTCCTTGGGCTGGTATCTCCAAAGAAGCTGCCAAAATATGATAGTAAACAGCTACACGTTAAAGAACAAAGGCCCATTAAATATCAAAAGGTGTTTTAACTTGCTCCAGAATCCAGGGATGAAATTCAGTTTCCTGTCACCACTGAATTGTGACAAGCTACCAGCTAAAGCTACTCTGGAGAAGCTGGCATGGTTTCCGTAGCTGATATCCACGAGCTATGTAGAGTTATCTGTGGCAACAAAGTGAGAGTAACGAGCAAAAGAGATTCTGTTGTCAGGAGCAGGAAAGGGGACTCATAGCTGAGATGTACTGAGGCAGACAATCCAAATGGCTCAGGGGTTTTTTAGTCCCACCTTCAACAAATTCCTAACGAGACTAATGAAGGCTGCTTTCTCAGGAAGATGGAGACAGATCACTTGTATGGATTGTGTGGATCAAATTCACGTATAATTAATAAGCTGCTGCTATCACTGTAACTCAAGTACAGCTTATTTTATTTATATTTAATTTTTAAAATTTAGAAGTAACATCCTTATGAGTCCTGCAATGTAGAGTAACGTAGATTACTAGGAGTCAAGAAAGCTAATGTAGATTGCTAGGAGTCCAAGATTTGGGGTTTGGGTTGGGAAGTAGTAGTATGGACCCCTCCTGGAAAATTGTCCATCATTCACAGCAAGGGGGAAATAATTGACAGGTACAGAGAATTTCAGCACAGTGCCATGCAGTTAGAGCTGCCATTCATCATGAGGAGCTGCAGTGCAGGAGCTGGGGAATACTTTGTACATCAACAGATGTCTGGGCAGCCAACACGCTCCAATTTTTCTCTGTCTTCTCATAAGACCCTGGCATACCCTTGGGAGCTGGATTCAGGGAGAACCTTTCAAGACACACAAACATACACAGAAGGATTCATCCATTTCTGCTGGATATTTATCTGGCTATTTCTACATATGGTTGTGTGAAATTTCTTGGCAAAGTTCAGCTTTTAGGAAGGATATTATAGAATAGAGATTGTGCTGCATCAGCACTGTGTGAAGAGATGCTAAAAATAGGCATAAATAGGAATGGCAGGTGTTGGTAGCATCAGTCTTCGAGTCAATCACATGTGGTTTCCATAAAGTCCTTTCTTTATGAAAATCAGTGCTAAGAAAATAGGGTGGCTTCTGCACCTACTCTGGAAACAAAGAGATCTCTGTGCTAGACCTAAGGAGGAGAGCTCCTCGGCTGAAAACGAAGCGGCATGGTGGCAGCTCCCTCTGCCTTCGTCTGTGCCCTCAGCCCACTGCTGTCCCTGGCGAAGGAGCCGTGGCAGAGCAGCAGTCAAGGAGCCAGGACTTCTGCTCCCACTGCTCTTTCTTACCTGCCTTATGACCACGTTTTCTCCCAAAGCTGATGAGGAAAGACAGATGAGGAAGATGGGCACAGGCTTGGATGAGAGAAACAAGGAGGGATTAAACACAAACATTTCTGCATCAAAAACCATTTGGAACGTGCCCAGATGGGGTGGTAGTGGCTAGCAGTGGCGTAACAGAGCTGTTCAGTGCCTGTGGCAGATCAGATCTACGTGTAAAGGGCTGGGGAAGTGCTGTGGCTCTCCCTCCTCTCCATGTCTCTCTGGAGTAATCCACCAGAAGTGCACTCTGACCCTGCTCCTGAGCCATTTTTCCTTGCTCCTCCACCAGAGGTAACCCAGTCTCACATCATCGCACCTTACAACAGACGGGGGAGCGGCTCCCACCAGGTCCTGCAGCAGACCAGCCTCTGTCAGCAAGAAAGGATTTAGCCTGGGGGATCTGAAGATTTTAATTTCCTTTCTTCTCTCTCCGGCTTTACCAATTTCCTTCCTCTCATGTCTTGTACATGCACAGCTTGTAAACAGCGGGGAGAAGAAAAAGGAAGGGTCTCAAATTAGCCTGACTGCGTGGTAAACTCTGGTCAGGTGGTGGTCTCCACAGGTCTGTGGGAAGGTAAGGTACCAGCCATGGTAAAGGTGGACTGTGGGAGTCCAGCCTCCAGGATATTAGAGAGGGAAGACTGTAAATTTCAACAGAGAATTCTTCACTTCCATAAGGAAAATATTCAGCTTATATTTCCAAGAAAATACTGGCAGTCCAGACACGTCTTCACTGTCACGATGGATCTATTACAGATGTGGGAAAATGTTCCCCCACCCAAATCTGGGACTCCCTAAGCCTGCCCACTATAAAAGTCCTATTAGAGAAATCAGAAGATGACCATGGACTACCAGTTTCTTAATAAATGCTTCCATTTCTTACAGCATTTGAAATGTGAGATCCTGAGATAATGGCTCTAGGGTTGCTCAAGAGCACACGATGCAGCCTCTCTGAGGAGCTTGCCTCGCTCCCCTCTCTGCTCCCTGACTGGTAAGACAGCTCATAAACAGCTCCTGGAATGGAGCTTGCTCACATTGCCAAAATTCAATTTGTGTTTTTGTTCTTCTGAGGCAAAGACGTTGAATGATGTAAACCGAAATGCCAGTCAGTTGGGTAACACCAGTTAATATTCTGTAGCTCGGAAAAAAAAGTTCCTGTAGCTGCATTCCTTCCAGGTGCAGCTCACTTAAGCACTTCAGGTAACCACTGAGGGAGTACTCTGGGGCTTGGAGTCAGCAGCAGTTAAAACATAAGCACACAGAGGCTAGCTTCCCCTTGGTCCAGAATGCTCCCTGGTCTCCTGGGGAGTACAGGCAAGTCCAGCAAATTGGACTGGCATTTAAAAAATTTAAAATAAAATAAAATAAAATAAAATAAAATAAAATAAAATAAAATAAAATAAAATAAAATAAAATTTTAAAACTTAAAAAATATATAATAATTTAAAAAAAAAAAATGGAGAGAAGTGAAGAATCACATTTGGAAGGCCTGCTGACGTAGCTCGGAGGTGAAAGTGTTACAAACAGGACTTGAGACTTTTTCTTTTCACCGTAAAGAGTTGTTTGCCATGCTAGAGTGTATTCTTTCGCTGCTGAAAATGAAAGTATCACTCCTCTGAATGCCAGAACATTACAAGCAGTGAGATGATAACAGCTGAGACGAGGACCAACACCTAGAGGCTTACAGAGCAAACGTGACACAGGCGAGGGAGCTAATGGTGCCAGGACACCTGCCCGTGTGTGACCATCGCTTTCAGTAAGCAGCCTCTGGCCTGGCAGCCGAAGAAAGGTGGAGACTGATTTGTACCCGGGCACAGCAGACCCTGGGGTTACAGGCTGCCAACATCTGTATCAGCAGGAGCAGAGCCAGCCCCATGCTTCCTTGGACTGAGAGTTGAGGAGAGGAGAGCCATAACAGATAGGCTAAGGGGAACCAACACAGGTCGGGTACATCGGTGGATCTTACGAGAGGAAATAGGCTTTTCCTTGGGTCCTCCCCAACAGCTACAAGAAGCCCTACTATCTGGGTGAAATGAGTACAACCCAAGCTGGTGTGAAGTACTGTGAAAGGCATACGTCAGCTTTAACTAGTTGAGGGCTAGCAGGCTGAAACCCTGCCTATCCATCCGCAAGTTTCTTCCCAATTTTCCTGGCACAGCACATCGGCAAGGGGAGGGCCGTGTTTCTGGCTGGCTGAGCAGAGCGAAAACAACGGAGTTTGACCTGCGGTGTAGAGCTGCTGGCTCCAGTAAGCTCCCTCCCTGCGCTGGGAATTAGTTTTGAACCCAGAAGAGGCTTGATAAGAGACACAGAAGTGGCAGAGAAAGTTGAAATGTGATTCAAAGGCAAAGGGAAATATGCACAGTAAGTACCTCTCCCTGCAATCCTTTCCTGGCTTTTATCCTTACCCCGTCACTGCTAGAGCTACTCTGAGTGCTGACTTCTTTCAAATGGTTAAACCCTGGCTGTGCTCAGGGGAGGAGAGGGTGGTTCGAATCATAAATAATGCAAGGATAAGGTCGGGCAAGCCAAACTGATGTTTCAACACCCAGTGGGCTGTACACTGGGCTGTATGCTCTGTTGGACTCTGCAGGATATTAATAAAAATTTGCCTCGTTTAGCCCATCTAACTCATCTCTCATTTTCCAGTGTACGACACTAGATGTTAACTCCACTGTTGCTGTATTAACAGCATCTCGTGCACAGTCTGTAGCCTCGTGTTCATAGACACAGAGAGAGAGAGACAGATCAGTCTCCTTGGCCCTATTCTGCTCCGGGGCTTCAGAGAGAAGGTAGGGGCCAGGCTCACACAGCAGGTCAGTGAGAGGGCCCCAGGGAAAAAATAATGCCCTAGCCCATGGTGCAGCATTCTCCAGTTTAGCAGAGACAAGTGGGACCATTGTGGAAGGTGGCAGCAAAGTTATGGCAAGCAACCACACAATAAAACAAAAGACTTTTGTTTCCTTAATTCATGGTGAACTCCCCAACGATCACTGGGAGCAGAAGGGGATAAATGTAAATGCAGAAACTGAAGTGTTTGCATCTTTCTGCTGTAGAAATTCGTGGTTTCATATTTTGTTTTCAAGGCTAGGCACCACACTGCATAGAGCACAAAATATCTGTATGTTTGAATCTGTCCTGTGCAATTCGAGTCATTTAGGATCGTTTAGGTTGGAAAAGACCTTCAAGACCATCTGGTCCAACCTTTAACCCAGCACTGCTAGGTCCACCATTAAACCATGTCACTGAGCACTACAGCCACATGTATGTGAAGCCAAATAGCCTGTTATTTGGGGTGGCATCAAGGTGGCTGTGTCTGAGCTGCCCACCCAATCTTGCCAGCTCTCCCTTGACCTTTCTCTGGAAGCAAAGAGCTGGGGTCCAGCTGGAGCACAGCCTGTGCTTTAGAAAGCAAAGTCAAGGCAGGTTCTGACTCAGGCAGCATAAGCCAACCTCTATCACGAATACAGGAGCCTCAGACCATGCACTGGTGAGGCTGAGCCTGGAACATGGTCCCCCCTTCTCATCAAAACCACATCTGGGCTGTACCTATAAGCCTCTAAGGAGATGCCTATGTGTGCGTGTCTTTAAATACCAGAGAACCATGGCCGAGAAGGCCAACCTGTTCAAGCACCCCTGCTCTCTTAACTGTTTAAAGTGCTGTGCGTGCTGCTTGGATACCCCCTAACACTGTTTGCTGGATCAGATATCAAACAGGAATGTTAAACTTTGAAAGCAGGGCAGCAGTGTGCCTCAGTAATTGCCCTTCTCTCCAAATAATGGAAGCCCGCTGGACAGGACAATGATTTATTAGCAATACCTCTCTCGCCTTCCCCCTTCTCCACGCTCCATCTCAAGCAATTCAATCAGTAATTTTTTATCACCGTATTTTATGGTGCTGTAATTAGCCTAGAGGACTAACAAATGTGTGTCCCTATAAAACTTGTATTAATTCTCATAGTTGTTGTTGGAATCCAAAATATTTTTCTACCATTGCTGTGTGAACATGTTTCTCATTCTCGGAGCCACAACGTTTTGTGTTGCTGCTCTGGCTCCCATTCACATGACTTCCATCAAAAACAAGGAATTGCAGGGAGTTAGAAGCAGTCCTGGGGCTGGTATCTGGCCAGTGAGCTCTTCACTGCTGTAATAGTTGGGACATCTCGGACATGTCAGTCAGTGCAGGTGTGGCAGAGCGGGGTTTTGGTTGGAGTCCCCTCTAAACACTATTTGCAGCAGCTGCTACAGGACAGGGCTGATCAAGCAAGCAGCTTGCAGGCATCATACTTGAGTTTAATTTCTAACCAGTCTAGGAAATTCAGCATATCTCACCTGCTCAGTTTGCTGAGCTATTAAATTAGTATCAGAAAAAAATCTCACTGTGCACAACGGTTGGATATTTACTGCTAACTTCTGGAGAAGCTTTTCTTTCCATTGCTGCAGGGACTCCACCTGCCCTCCAGCACCATGTCTGACCCAGTTAGCACCCTGGAGGATGCAGACTGAGAGCAGCCCATGGTCATCTTCACAGGATCTCCCCGCAGAGCAGAGGGAGGTGTCAGTCCCTCCCCACACAGTGCACCCTTTTCTCGCTCAATATCCAGTGCCTCCCAGAAAATCTCCTGAAAGCTATTATCTCAGAATCTGTAAATAATAGCCCAGCAGGGCTTCTTGGACATGCCTACAAGATTGAGCAATAGATTTGCTTCTAAGAATTATGAAATTTGACACTTTTTGTAACAGGGCAAATTTAGTCCCTTCTGTGCGGCCAATGGGGCCGAGAAGTCCTCATTCGCACGACTGTCACTCTTCTCAAGAGAGTGCAGTAAGGCCTCCCAAACTGAAATGGGAGCAATTGACATTTGCCAAGTTCATGTGTAAACGATCATTTATTGTAGCGAGCCAAATAAGCCACTGGAGCAAGCTATCCAAAGAAAGTTTCCAGAAATAGCTGACTCTTGACGAGGCAGCTCAAATCTAACCATCTCTTTCTACTTCAAAACCTATGAAGCTATGGCGAAACACAGGAAAGCACTCGAAGAACTCTTCTTTCACTGCAAACAAGATAGGAAAGAGAGGACACAGCCATGGTCAGTACGTGTCAGTTAAACCTCCCAGCTCCTCACAGCTTTCCCCTCATAGCTCCCCGATGGACATAATGACTGCACTGATCTTGAACAGAGACTTCTAGGGTTTTGTCCATGAGATGGCTGAGCTGTGGGAAGCACCCTAGGTCAGAATCAAGAATCAGCCTCTGGATCTCTATTAACTTATTGAAAATGTGATAAACGTTCCCCAAACGGATCCTATCAGAATTGTTACCAAGAAAAACCCTGTTCACGTTTTGTGAAGCAGTGAATCTGCAGTCATAAATACGTAATCCACTTACATATTCTTTGCTAATAAGAGTCACTGCTTTATCTTTAAAGGGGAGACAAACATATTTTTCACTCCATTTTTTACAGGGCAAATGTCTTTCCCTCCCTGCAGATGGCAGCTTGCAGGTGGGCCGTGTTCTCACAGGAGTGGCTGGGTCTGGCCCGCCAGTCAGGGGATCAGTAGGTGCTTTTGGGATTCAGCCACTGCGAAGGCAGCGGGAGGCTGAGGTGGTGCCCACGGCACAGCCTCTCACCGCAGTCAGTTCAGCACAGTCTGGGCCCCATCCGTGTCCCCAGTGTGCCGCTGTCCCTACAAGCACACCGGGGTGGCCAACTTACCTGCACACGGTGGAAGCAAACAAGTGACACTGAGAGCGGTCGCACGGCCTCCCTGCACAGGCACTCTACATCTAACCTTGTGCACCTTCAGAAATATTTTGTAAAAGCAGCCTGCGCTGATGGAAAGCAGCTCCTTTGTATCTGGAGGCCTGATCTCAATTGTTTTCCTGGAGCTGGGCATTCAGTCCAGTCACTGGTCCAGAACAACTCAGCAGAAAATACGGTATCACATCAAAAAGCCATTTCCTGGTAACGTGGCATCTTCCCTGGCAAAAGGTTCTTAAAACAACAACAAAAAAGGCACAATAGATAAATTTCTCAATTCCAGACTTGTTTTAGACCATGTCTGCCAGACGGTACACACTGCTGGTCACACAGTTAGTAACTTTCCCTTCCTTCCTTATTCCTGGTACAAGGTCCTGCACACACTCCATATGTGTTTACGGATATAGCTCCGTGATTACTTTGGAAGTGCAAAATGCTTGGCGTAAGGGATTGTGACAGAGTTTCCTTGGCTCTGACAGGTCTCCTCTGTGCCTTCAGTCTTGGCTAGCCCAAAACAAAATCTGTACTTCAACATACTGTTCAATTTTTCAGCAATAAAATAAACATCTCAGACAGTGCTTTCTGGCATCAAACGTCCATCCTACTTGCTGTCTTCTGGGTTTAGGAAGGAGGCTGGGGGAGGAATGAAGATGCACGTCTGAAACTGGCATTTAGGAGGGATTTCTGGCTTTGATTCCTCCTTTGTGGAATCCTGTCTGCCAGCCAGTTGTCTGAGTGGGCCTGCCTGGTTATTTCAGTGTGAGCCACTAATCAGCAAGTGTGTGGGATGCAGCCACTCCTTGGGAGATGACCTGCACTGGGATTTAAGGTTATTTGTTGCTTAGGGTTGGCTATGCGCTTTTTGCTCTCAGCTACCTCATACCCAAATTGTACAAACAGAGCTGTCTGCCGTCCCCTTTCTACTACCTACCCACTTCTGCTTCTGGCTCCAGGTGAACCTGGAGAGGCCCACGGTAGTGCTTGTTACTGAGCTTGGGACTGCTCAGGAGCTTTGAAAGAGCTCCACACGACATGTGCATGGTGTTAGTGAATGCACAGTTTTGTATCGGGACGTTAATTACCAAGGAGCCTGGCACAGAACAGGAAATACAAGTCCTTTTCTTACATAAACATGCTCGGTTTTGGTTGGCTGAATACCTGGATACCAATTCTCCATGGGCTGGGATCCCTTAGGTTTATTTATGCAGTTATGTTCCTGTTCTGAATTTAACAACTCCCTAACTATCATCACCATGGTATAAAAAATATTGATACACGAGGTACAGGAGACAGTTTTATGTTCAGTTTCAACACAAACTAAGAAAACTATTCAGCCAGAGGCATCACTAAGCAGCTTGCTCTGTTCACACACAAAACTGGATGAACCACATTTGTCATTTTTTTGCCACCACACAGCATTTCCCAGTTCTTGTGCTTTCCAGAATGGGGACTTAAACACATGCATACAGCAGCTTTCTTTCATGCAAGCTCTCCCTGTGTGCCTCTGATAAGAATATATTGTTGCAAGCCCCCCAAAAATTTAAAAAAATTGCCAAAGAATCTACACATGGTAAAATAAAGGGGGGAAGGGTTTAATCAGAG